AAACTCTAGCTTAAGAACCTAATCAGGTGAGCTATGTCCATAGATTCATATAAATAAGTCGTTTCAAGGAAGAAATTACACTAAATTTCAAATTCTTTAAATGTGTTAAATATGACCAGTGATGTTGATGTTTTATAAAAACATAGTTTCAATAAATGAGAGAGTTGTCAAAGGTATCACAAGGGATCAAATAACTGAAAATTAGAAGGAAAACATGGATTTATTTAGTTTTGTATAGAGGTAAAAGATAAAGAGCAGGGACAACTTCTTTGGCTAAAGGGGGTATAGGGGACAACATAAGAGAAGGGTGGCGTATGTGTGGTGGTGAGAAGAGGGGAGTGCAAGTGACATCCACCTTTAAGAAGAGGGGGGGGGGGTGCATGTGACAATCAAGGTGGTTGACGACAAGATGGGTGTCGAGATGGCAGATGTGTTGTTGATCTTAAAGCTTTGATGGTGGGTGGTGGCAAATGGTGGTAGCACGGTTACTCGAGATAGGTTGGGGTGGGGACTTTCATTTGGTAGCTTTCTTTCCTCTATGTCTCTCTTATATATATTTATATTCCTAAGAGAAAATGATAGAAAACGATAAATTAACGAAAACACCCTTTATTTAATTGGATTTAACAGAAAAACTTAACAACCGTTAGTTTGAGGTAGGAAATCCAAGAAAATTTGCAACAGTGAATCACAAATTTGCAACTAAGAACTGTAGAGACGAATTTCATGGAAAATAATAAATATGAGGGATGAAAAATGTAATTCACTTCGTAATTTATATCTTAGCGTATGGAATTAATGGCTTAATTTGAGATTTTTATTTATAGACTATTAAACATAAAACTAAACTACAAATTTAGTCCATGTGATTTGTCAAAAATAACATTTTTTGTCACTATCGTTTCAAAATTACAAGATGGACATTGTGGTTTGCAAAAACATCTAGATTTGGTCCTTCTATCTAACGGTCGTTAAGAAACCTGTTAAATAAGAGACATTTTCATCTTTTTATCGCATTTTAATCTTTTACTTTTACCCAATCAAAAAATGACAAGAACCAAAATCATAAAATCAATTGTGATTAAGTAAAAAAACAAAAAAAATCGACAAAATGATGAAAATGTACCTCATTTAACGAAATTTTGTAACGATCGTTAGTAGGAGGACCAAATCCAGACATTTTCACAAATCATGATATCCATCTTGCAATATTGAAACTATAGGAACGAAGAATGTTATTTTCGACAAACCAAAGAGACCAAATTTGTAGTTTACTCTAAACATAAATATGTTTTCTAAGACAAAAATTGAAACTTACTTATGTGAAATTTGCTGAAATATTTTCCATTAAATAATTAATGCGTAATTTTATTTAAAAAATGAGTAAATTGCATTTTGGGTCTTTGTGGTTTGTTGGTTTTTTCATGATTTGGGTCCTTACAAAACTTTTGTTGTAGGATTAAATAAAGACACTGTCTCCAACCCTTAACCATCGATTGTAATCCTACCCTTTCCATTACGATGAACCTAGCTCCATTTCCTTCGATCCAACACCCTTCTCTGGTAACCAATGTTGTTGAAGTGACTCTCACTCACAAAATCCATCTCTACAATCGAAGCATGCCACCGCCATCGTAGCAACCCACCACTAAGAGATCAAAACTGTAACCCCCTTGGTGAGCATTAGTTAGATCTACTGCTGCTTTGTTTACAACTTCTTTTGATGTGGCTTGGTGAAGATGAGATTGCAGACATATCACTATGCAGCGAGGTTTTTTTTGGCAGAGGGGGTGGTTTTACCTAGGATTTCAGAGTAACCTGTTACATGTGTTTTTGGTTCCCCCTAATGTAGGTGACATTTTTTCTTGTTCCACTCGATAGATTTTGATCTTGGCCATCTAAAAACATCAAACCGTCGATTATTAAGGAACATCAAAATTTTCTTGAACTTGGCGGAACCTAAATATGGATATGTTGTTTGTGGTCTACAAAAACCTCAAGTCGGAGAAGGGAATGGAGGTGCTTTGGTGGGAGTCAGAGGCGAAGGGATGCTTGAGATGAAAGGGGGCACCAAAGATAACATTGATGAGACGATGATTGTGTATCATATATATATAATTATATATAGAAAGGAGGTTTATTTTGCAAACCACGTTATTTGTACAAACCGTACAAACCTCATTTAACCAATCATAATTTTTCATTTTGTTTTTTTTTGTAATTATGAGAGGTTGATTAATTATTTTTATTGTGGTGGATGCTAATCATAGATATTATTATCTTAATTATATTAATTCTAGAGAAATACATGAAATAATTTCATAATTATTATATGAAACAATTTCATAACCATATGTGAAACAACTTCATTAAAAAAAGTATTATATGAACAATTTCATAATATTAAAACAATTTCATCAAAAAAAAATTCATAATAGTAAACAATGAAATCGACGGATAAAGGTGATTTGCACGGTTTGTACAAATATGAGTGATTTGCATTTGATCATTTCTCTCTTTCTTTCTCTCTCTCTCTCTCTCTATATATATATATATATATATAAATAAGGGCTTAATCATATGAGAACTAAATAGTTTATGGTAACTGTGAGTTCCAATATGAGCTAATCATTTTAAATAATTAATGTTATTTACTAAAATAAAATAAAGGGTAAATTAGTAAATTGTGTTGATTATTCAATTTACTTTAATTAATTTAATATATGTATATACGGAGACACGCACACAAATACAGAAGGACCAAATCCAGTGGCCTTCTCCGGCACCCACCACCACTCCGGTGACCTCCTCCAATCATCTTGTCTGCCCAAGACATCGTATCGGATAATCGACCACTAAACACCCACATGCGAAAGTGGTACCACAGTTGGTATCATAGTGGTCTCAAAGTTTTACTTGGTGTGTTTTGGGTATCACATTGTATGTATTTCAGGTATAACATTGTGTATCTTGATGTATTTTAGGTATCACATGATGTTCATTGGAGGCCGGAGGTAGGAGAGAGAAAAAAAATTAAATACCTAAAATGCCCTTTAATTATAATCTTAAGTCAAATTACCAAATATTGATTTCATAATTTATCCATTGATTTGTGGTTGAGATTGAATCTCACATTTATCACAAACTAACAGTTCTTCCTTGAATGAACCTATATATATATATATATAGAGAGAGAGAGAGAGAGAGAGAGACAGAGAGAGACGAGTGATCAAATACAAATCGCTCCCTTTTGTACAAACCAATCTCATCCATTCATTTTCATGATAAAAAACCATTATTAATCGAAGTTATTTTAGTAAAATAAAATAATAATAATATTATTATTTTATCCAAGAAAGCGTAAAACTGAAAAAAGTTTTAAAAGTTTCAACCTATTTAAATATCTTTTCCCCATATTCAATCCCCTTTCCTCGCATTAATCTCGTTCAATTGCATTAATCGAATTAAAAGTTTCAACACATTGAAATCTCAAGATGAAACGATACGATTTTATACAACCTACAACTATCTCAATCCAAATTATTTGTATAAATTGATAAAGTAGAGAACAAAATCATGGATATCAACATTAATGAAACAAAATTAGAGCTTTAAAATCTATATATATGATTTTATTATTAGAATGGTTTAACCAAAAATGTTAGGAAAATCTAGGAAATCATATATTCAACAATTTTTATTTTATTTTATGCGTAAATATTAGAATTAAATAAATTTCACATTAAAAATAGAGTTACCTATAAACCATAAAAGAAGGGATATTTTAATAAATCATGAAACATAAAAATATTCTTTAATCAACAATAAAGAATGAAACATTTTGGAAACTGAATAATATATATGATTTCATTAGTGAAATTGGTTTCATGAATGGATTTTTTTGAAAACTGAATAACATGATTTCATTAGTGAAATTAGTTTCATGAATGATTTCATGTTTTCTAACCAAGATGAAATTGTTTTCATGGTTTCTAACCAAAATGAAATTGGGTTTATTAATGAAACTAAATATGATTCAGTCAATGAAACATTTTGAAAACTGAATAATATGATTTCATTAATGAAATTAGTTTTATGATTCCAAACCAAAATGAAATTAGTTTCATGAATGAAACATTTTGAAAACTGGATAACATGATTTCATTAATGAAATTTGTAAGAAAATTCATTTATTCATGAATTTTACAAATAAAACAAAACAATATATTCACAATCTGGAAAATATCACAACTATATTATTAATAAATCTGAAAAGATTTGTAAATTGAAAAAAAAATACCGATTTCTTTTGTTATTATGAAAATGAAATAAATAAATTTATATGAAAAAGATGATTATAAATAAAATCTGAAATTGACGGATTATTTTTATTTAATAAAATAATACAAAATATTAATGTTGGTAAGTATTTAATAAAAACAAATTGATTGATCGTTTTCTAAAACCTCTAATCTATATAATCTTTCAGATTTAGACACAATTAAAATATTACCAAAACTATATATTATAAAATCAAAGGACAATCATACCCTTATGTATTAAAAAAAAATTGAATTATGCTACTGGTTGATGCTAGTTTGTATAGTGTGTATGAAATGAATAGTTTGCAAAGTAAACCACCTCTCTCTCTCTCTCCCTCTCCCTCTCCCTCTCCCTCTCCCTCTCTATCTCTATGTATATATTATAATTTTTTTTTAATTTTTTTTGTAAAAAGTAAACAAAAAAGTAAAATGACCACAATACCTTCGGCTTAACGGGTTTTTTTGACAATGTTAGTCGGGAACCAAAACCAAGCATTTTCGTATATAATAGAGGTTCTTTTTGCAATAAATATTTTATGGGGATCCAAACCAAGAAAAACAACAAATACATGGACCAGAATTGCAATTTACTCTTGAAAAAATTAATGAATTTGAAATCTTAGTCATGAGCTAGCTGTGCCTGTGCCTCTGCCTATTCAGTCGCTGCTGCAGTTCGATACAAACGAAGTGGACTCCAATCTCCATCTTTCTCTCCGAACTTAAGCGGCGATTTCCCCAAACCCATCTTCACTCACAAACCCATTTCAATCACCTCCCACTTTTTTTGGTTTCATTTGATTTGATTTGGTTCTTCTTGTTTTCCCTATCAACAAACCAGTTTGATTTTCAGACAATCAATGGCTCAAATGGCTGCTACCAAGTTGACTCATAATTCGTTTGTTTCCGGTTCTCTTAACAATCAGATTGAAAAGATCAAACCTAGTGGTTTCGCTTCCAAAGTTTTGATTGCTAACAATCAACGGATGAGCCATAGCCATAGCCATAGCCATAGCCACCACCGTGTTCTTAGCGTCACTGCAAGGAGGCAGGGGCTGGAAGTTCTTCCCGTTACACCTGAAGACGTACCCAAGGTCGTATATCGTTTTACTTTTTCTTGGCTGGTCGTTTGATCTGGATTTTGTTGATGTGCTTGATTTCAGCTTACGCTCATGCATACTGTACTATTTGCTGCCCAGAAGGATCTACACTTCAATTTCTGTGTCACTCGTATTATTTTTCAATAAGAAATGTGATATTTGTTATCAACTTGCGTTAGCTTAATCCATCGGCCAGTATTTGAGCTTAATGTTGTTATCAAACGTCAACTTTGAAGTTTAAAATTGCCTATTTGACACCCCCACCCCCCAAAGTGCCAAACACAAACACAAAAGTCAAAGAACAGCTCCTCCTCGACTATGCAAAAAGTTGGAAATGAAGCATAAGCAACCTTTCCCATGCATTTTACACAGAGGTTGTTTCCATGGCTCGAATGGGACCTTTAGGTCAAAGTGGAGTAACCTTATTGTTATGGTGTTGTTCAGTGGCTTGCCCCTTCTCACGCTAAGTAACAGGTTAAGAAAATGAAAACCACACAACCCAGAATGCTTTTTAGACATATTTCATATCTAAAACTTGATATTTGTAGCTAAATGGAAGAGGCCTGCATTTTGTTACCTACATTATGCTTCAGATTTTGTGATCTGAATGGGCAATGGAACTGAAAGAATGAATTTATGGTTAAGACTAACTTGATAGAAACAGCCGAGCTTGAATAGAATGCACTTCCACTTTGACTGTCAAGGCTGGTTCTATCTGCTATTTAGAAAAATCAAAAACTGATTCAACTTCTGAGCTTATATTGTATCTTTCTCTTTCCTACCTGTTGGTGTGTTAACCCAAGAGTGGCTTATCAGTCATTTGGGCTTCACACCATGTGTGAGGTCCAAAGCTCAAATCACTTCCCTTATGATCTTGTCCCTTGTCACACTTCCTTTCTCCCTGGGAAAAGAGGACCAGTTAACTTGAAAGCGGTGGCCATAATGGAACTTTTGCGAATTGTGGAGATACTTCTCTTCATTTTTTTCCTTTAACAGCACCCAGTGGATGATGCTGTTTGTTAGTTGTTGCTCTGTAGTGGCTTCTTTAGACAGCTTATGCAAGAATCAACTTCTGGCTTTGCTTTGCACATGCCTTTGCACATACCTTTTAGCAAGGGAGTTAATGTTTTTCAAGCTACTATTATTATATTCATGCGCAGCATCTTCCTTCCGTGGTTGCTATCACCATGTTCCTTGTCTTTGTACTGCCTAATTTATGATTCCATCACCTTGATGTGGGGGTCACTTGTAAACCGATACTAATTTTTCTTTTTTTCAACAGATAGGAGAGCAGAATTACCAATCTAGGGAAGTTTTACAGCAGGGTGACACATCAGTACGTATGTGGTCCAGACCTGTGGTGAAGCGCAAGACAAAAATTGTTTGCACAATAGGTCCATCCACCAACAGTAAGGAAATGATATGGAAGCTGGCTGAGGCTGGGATGAACGTAGCAAGATTAAACATGTCTCATGGAGATCATGCATCTCATCAGAAAGTTATCGACCTGGTTAAAGAATATAATGCTCAATCCAAGGATAATGTTATCGCAATTATGCTTGACACCAAAGTAAGCTTCTTCTTTTGTCTGGATGTTATTTAGTTCTCTTAAATTCTTATGCACCTGTCCCACTTGTTACAAACTTCTATTTTTTGTTCGCCAATCTTTAAAAGGAACTATAATACATTTTTCTGATAACAGGGGCCTGAAGTAAGGAGTGGGGACTTACCACAGCCAGTTAATTTAGCAAGTGGCCAAGAATTCACTTTCACAATAAAAAGGGGTGTTGGCACAGCAGACTGTGTTAGTGTTAACTATGATGATTTTGTGAATGATGTGGAAGCAGGTGATATGCTTCTGGTCGACGGTATGTTAATAAGAACTTTTATTTCATATCTGATTGTTTTACATTGACTGCATGAACTTGAAATGGACAAGGTTAATTTTCACAACTTGAAAACAGAGATGACAACCTGCCCATTCACTTGTTCATGTGTTAGCCACCAATACTCTTACCACGTAAAGTTTGGGAAGGAGTTCAAGGGGATACTACCATATGTGAAGATTAATTAGATTTTGAGTAAGAGAAATCTACTTATGTGATCAATGATCACTGAAGAAAATGTAAGGCACACTAAATGGTTTGTGCAATAGATTCTTGTAAACTTTATGTAGGAAGAACATTGGTCAAACCCTAGCTCGATGGTGCTAGTTTTTCCATGGTTCAGTAACTGATATTCAACCTACTATACCTTGAGCTTGAGATTCTTGAAATTAAACTTTACTGTTTAATCTTTCTTTGTGAACACAAATTTTGAATAGCCAACCTTTCTCTTGTTTCTTTTCGTATCTTTCCTTTTACATGCTTTTTTCTCCTGCTATGAGGCATCATTTATGAATCTACATTCAACACTCCCACATGGATTTGTTGTTTATATCATAACTAAGTTGATAGTGAACATATATAATTCTGAATGTGAACTGTAAACCCTAGTTATGGGAATTTTAGAAGTTCTAGTTCCTTTGTTTGTGATTTTTGCTGGCACTTTCTTACCATTAGGTGGTATGATGTCCTTGTTGGTCAAGTCCAAAACTGAAGATTCAGTAAAATGTGAAGTTGTGGATGGTGGAGAGCTCAAATCTAGACGTCACTTGAATGTTCGAGGAAAAAGTGCAACTCTCCCATCCATCACTGGTTAGACTCGATAACCATAATCTTTATGATGATTGCATGAACTAGCCAGCTTTTTTTGAGTAGTACTAACCCTCTGGAGTTCAAATGGGCATGATGCTGGGCACCGTTTTACAACAGAAAAGGACTGGGATGATATCAAATTTGGAGTGGACAATCAAGTTGATTTTTATGCGGTCTCCTTTGTTAAAGATGCAGAAGTCATCCATGAGTTAAAGAGTTATCTCAAAAGTAAGGATGACAATGCCAACACATAGGAATCAAAGATATGTACTCCTAACGAAATTGGTACTCCAAATTCTATTACTTTAACCTTCATTGCAACCTCGTTATTTGGCAGGCTGTGGTGCCAACATCCAAGTAATTCCAAAAATTGAAAGTGCAGACTCTATACCAAACTTGCAATCAATTATCACAGCATCAGATGGGGTAAATTTGTTTTTGTTCCATTCTACTTCACATTTGAATTTTTGCCGACTCATATCACCTTATGGTTTTGCTGGCGATGAAAGTATTTTGGTTGCATCATATTTTTGATAGGAATGTCGAAAACTTTTGTTTTCTTAAACTATGAACTTGGACAATGTACATGATTCTGTAAATTCTAAAAATTTGGGGGAATTCAGATCCTTTAAATAGTGCCTTATATTGTGAAAGTGATTTTTCTGATTTAAGTTTTAGCAGTCAAGCCTACTATCCAGCCTGAGGTTACCAAAGCATAACTCACTTGGTTTGTTTGAGCAGCATTGTGGATCCATTTAGGTTCTTGTTCTTAGTCAAAATTTGTTCGTGACTAATGCACGCTAATGTTTCCGCTTTGCTTTTCTCAGGCAATGGTTGCAAGAGGAGATCTTGGTGCAGAGCTGCCTATTGAAGAGGTTCCACTTTTGCAGGTAACATCTTTTTGTTAGTGTCATATTGGTTAAAAAGCTTCTAATTCATTCTTTAGTAGCGATCAACCACCATCTATCTGCTTTCATTAGGAAGAGATAATCAGGACATGCCGTAGCATGGGAAAAGCTGTCATCGTTGCAACAAATATGCTTGAAAGCATGATTGTTCATCCTACACCAACCAGAGCGGAGGTATCCGACATTGCTATTGCTGTTAGAGAGGGTGCTGATGCAGTTATGCTATCTGGGGAAACAGCTCATGGAAAGTAAGACTTTTCTCAACGTTCCTCAGTACCTTAATTTAATGTGGGTACCTGGGTAAACCCATCACTGACCGTAGAATTTTGGTGTCAAAGGACACGGATGAGGATTTGCGTATCATAATTAATGGTAGAATTGAAAAGTAGAAACTTCTGGAAACGGACACTTATTTTGGGACAGAGAGTATTGATTTTTCTCAATAGTGTAGAAAATTGGTTAGGTTTAACTCATCACAGATGATTTGGTCATTACTAAAAACTGGATTTTGATGTACCCTAGGAATTTTTTCCTATAGGGATAGCATCTTAAACAAAGTTCTAGTCTGCTATGGTCCTGATCTCTTGACATGCAGGTTTCCTTTAAAAGCTGTTAAAGTAATGCACACGGTGTCATTGCGAACTGAAGCGAGCATAGTGGGTGGTGTCACGCCCTCTAATCTTGGTCAAGCCTTTAAGGTGGATTTCCTGTTTGTTTGAAGATTTTTCAAATTTTATCTATGACATGCCCATTTGAACTTAGAACCATAATACTTCCAAGTGAACTTGTTATATATCTGTGCTTATTGTTTCCTGCAGAACCATATGAGCGAGATGTTTGCATATCATGCCACATCAATGTCCAACACTCTTGGAACCTCAATCGTAGTCTTCACTAGAACTGGTTTCATGGCCGTACTATTGAGCCATTATCGACCCACTGGCACTATCTTTGCATTCACAAATGAGTAAGTCCCATGATGCTTTCCAAACTTAATAATTTCTCATATGATCACAATTTTTTATGTAATTTGTGTGTGAAATGATATGATGTGCAGGAAAAGGGTACAACAAAAGTTAGCTTTGTATCAAGGAGTTTGCCCCATTTACATGGAGTTCTCTAATGATGCCGAGGAGACATTTGCAGATGCGCTGACCACATTGAAGGTAAAATGCATCAGTTTTTCTCTCTCTCAAAGTTCTTGTTTGTTAAGTTTAATGATTTATAAAAGCAGGAGAATAGTATAATATGATATGTTGTTAAAAAGGAAAAGTTTGCAATGTGCAGAATGAAGGGATGATGAAGGAAGGTGATCAGGTAGCGCTTGTTCAGAGCGGGAGGCAGCCGATCTGGCGGTTCCAATCCACCCATAATATTCAGGTCAGGAAGGTCATGTAAACACAAGTGGTATTTGGCCCCCATTCATTCATCTTTTTAGGGTTTGGAATTTTGTTGATTAATTCATAGAATATCTTCTTCTCAGACTTGTTTTCCTTGAAGAATCTTGAATCATTTTTAGAACATGAAATGGTTAGCAACAGAATAATTTGTCGTAAGGGCATGTTTACTATATGCAAAAACTGCTTTTTTATCCGGTTAATGTAACATTTCAAGCCAACCGTAACAGATATTGTCCGCTTTGTTCACACACTTAGACTCGTGGTTTTAAACGCTTATGATAGAGGAGGTATCAAGTTTCTTATAAGACAAACTAACAATCATATTCCCTTTTATGTTTATTCATATAAAAGTTTAATTATAACTTTGTGCAAACATTACATTTTATAACCATCGATTACTATAAAGCTCAAATGTATCGGTTTATTATAACGTTTTATTAACTTGGGATCATGTGAGAGTACCTATTTTCATGAGACCCATATAAGTTAAGATAACATCTCAACCCTTAGATAATTTGATCTTGCCAAACCTTCACAACAATTGCCAATCTTCACAGCAAAAAACCACCCGAACCTTCACAGCAAAACTATATGTACGAAAACAAACCCTTACAGTGGTTTCTCATTGGTCAAACGAAAACTTGATGGTCTCATGGGAACCCATCTGCATAATATTAACATCAAGTGATTATAAACTCTTGATCTCGTACCAAATTTACATGCATTCATTGATCTCGAATATGGTAAAACGCTTCACAAAAGTATTAAAATTACTCGGTAAGACGCATTACAACCATCTCAAACGTTTGTTAACCCTTATTTCATTATATACATCACCTTGTATCGTCATATATATTTTTATAGTAGGAGTGGTTACAAAAACCACCATCCCCCTTCCCCGGTCAAACCTCTATCAATCTCCAAGAAGAATATCCGTTAGTTTAATTTTACCGGGGATCCCCGGCCTCGGCCCCGTTCGGGTCAGGTGAACCGGGTTCCCCACCGGTGATTTTAGTCAAGAGGTTATAAATTGGCAAAACATCAATAATTTACAAAACCCAATCGCTATCGAATAAGAACAAATGACACCCTTTTGTAGTTAAACCTAAAAAAGACCAAACTTGAACAAAATACAGTAAAAGAAAGGACGGTAAGATATACACAGACTTGCCACCATCCAAGGGGTAGGGATACTAATTCCGATTAAAGAGAAATAAAGTTGGTCAATTTTTGGGCTGTTTCCGTTTTCAGTTATATTTGAGAAATTAAACCGAGCTGAAATCTTGTGCGAAGGTTGGTAACTTCTGAACGGTGATGATCGGATTTGGTTCACTAGTTTGTGAACAGCGGGCTGTCGAATCTCAACTCGTGATTTGGTTATTTCCTGTTTTCTAGCATTCGGTGTATTTCCCCAAGAAGGTTCGTCTTTTCGAGGACGGTTATAATCCGAGGGTCGTCTTCATGCTTGAAATCATTTTTACAAATGTCGTATATACATCGTTGCAACATCGTGGCTACAAAAACATCACAGATTAAACATATGGTCATTGGGACCAAATATCGAGTTGCTAAATTGTCTCGTATTCAAGTCATTCCCATCAAGAGCTGAACCGAATCGATCAAGCCATTGAGTAGGGCTAGGATTCTCGGTTTCTTCGACCCATGGTGACGTCATATCGATGTCATCTACTTGTATAGGATCAGTATCTGTTGACTTTGATTTTTTGGATCTTGCTAGCTTTAGATTGTAATGTATGTAGGCAATATCGTTTAAAACTTCCTTATCGATCTTATTTCGCTTCTCGGAGTGGATTTGTTGAAACGTGCTCCATTGTCGCTCAAACGTGGAACCGCTGCAAACCTGGCTCAAGATTCTCATGGCAACTCGTTGTAAGGTTAGAGCCGAGTCGCCGTATAGTTCCCACCAAATTCCTAACAAACCGAAAACACTTAGAAGAGAAATTGCAAGACTATAACGACAAGATATAGATCAGATGTTTAAAGATCGAACCAATAAACTACAAATCATTTGTGATCATCGATCCTAACAAATAGAACGAGCAAAAAGTTACACACGACTTCTCTCCAAAGATACTGCAAAATTTGATTTGACCTATGGTTTAAATAAAATGTTTGAAAGATATATAAAATACCCTTAAATCTTATAGATTCAAGTCAGTGACAGGTCCATTTAGGAACCTTACATATTTTGAGAACCCAAGAAGCATCTTTCACTACAACAAAATCAAGTTTACAGCATGGTAATAATTTCTTGGTGTCCCACTATACCGCTTTATAAGACTTAGGTTTACAGGACCAACCAGGCCCGTTCCTGACACTTTATAGGCCCTGGGCGAAAGTAAAAACAGGGCCCACTGCAAGAACAAGACTTTTATCAACGACTTTTGTCGTCGCTAAAAGTCCATTTATCAGAGTATATAACATGTCGTCGTCATAACTTGTGGCAGAAACATGTCATCGCTAAAAGGCGCATCATCAAAGCTCAATTTTCTTGTAGTGACCCTCGGTAAGTACGAAAAAAAATTCAATAAATGTTTTTTATTAGTATAAAATTGAGTACAAAAAATGCTAATAATTTACTGAGGAAAGAAATCTAATTTATCTTTATTATAGATATACAAGAGAGTACTTAAATATACGTACTTTTTATTAGGTAATTTGAAAACAAGAGTATAGAAACGATGGTTGATAAATTTTTATAAAAAGTAGGAATTTTTTTAGTTCATAACAAGAAATATGTGTTATTTTGATACAAAAAGAGAATTCGTGTGAATGAAGTAATCGTGCAGGTCAATGAGAGATCAATAAGAATATGAAAGCAAAGATGATCCATTGAGATCCAATAAGAATAAATAATGAATTAAACATATAATATGCAAGCTCAACAAATGATTGTTTGAGCACTTAAATAGAATCTTCCGGTGTGGTGGAATCCCAATGAAAGATACATAAGTCAAACAATTGATGAAAATATTTAAATTCTATTTCCTTCTTCTTTTGCTCAACTAAAATAAGATGTTAAGATTAAAAGTTTATGAAACATGACATATATAAAGGACATTACTAAATATATCTAGTAGAAAAAAATTATTGATTAATCACAAAACTATGAAACACGTCATAAATTATAAAAACAATAGATTGGTTGTCAATCAATAGTAAAATATTTTATGTAGAAACAAAAATAGATAACAATAGTCAACAAAAACAATTAGAATAACATAACCAAATATAAATAGTAAATAGGAGCAGAAATTGATAAAAATATCCAACAAAAACATATAACAATAGCAAGCACATGATCTTAACGTTGAATTGTTAGAAGCACGAAAATAGTCAAGCATATAGAGATAGCAATAACCAATATCATTGGACCTTGTTGGAGATAAAAAAATTAGAAGGGTAATAAACAATAGCATATAATGAATGACCAATTAATTTTTTTATTTTCTTCTCCAATGTAATTAGTTGATATATTTTTGGGTCCTTGTTATCTACTAAATTCTTTTGGCTTCTCATTATATGCTATAATTTTTTGGGTTTCTTTAATTTATTAAATTCTTTTAAACTACTATTGTATTTTTAAGGGAAAATTTTGGGCCCCTGATATTTTTGGGCCATGGGCGTGCGCCTGTGTCGCCCTCCCCCAGGGACGCCCTGACCAACAATTAAAAAATCCTATCTAAAAGTGTGGTAATAAGTTTATAGGACGTCTTTGGACTCGTAACAAGTTTTATAGGACATTTTAATAAAAAAAAAGCCGTATTAGCTCTTTTATACGACACTATTTGAAAATTTGTCTTGTAAAAAGATGTGTTCATAGGATACTTCTCAAAAATGTCTTATAAAATAGCTAATACGATGTTTTCTATTCGAAGTGTTTGAAAAGACTTGTTAAGACGCCCAAAGACGTCTCAAACTTTTTACACCATCTTTAGATAAGATGCTTTATTGTTTGGTTCTATAAATTAAGTCTTACAAGACAGTTTAGCCAAGAAAACTAACTAAAACTTCTAAAATAAGGCAAAAAGATGCAGATATAAATCTAACGTTTCATTCAAGTCAAAAGTCATGAAAACTCACCAGGTGAAACAGCATCAATGGCCTCCCTCGCAAGATTGCAGCCAAACATCCCGGTGGCCCTCGTAAACAACAGAATTTGATTGGTGATGTCTCTTTTTAGTTCAGGAGTTGGGAGCAGCTTCTCCAAAACTCTAAAGAAGTCTTCTTTTATCGATCCAAGAAACTTGATCTCAGGATTATACTGGATGCTCGGGTTCAAGAATGCAGCTGCCGAATGTAAAGGTGAATGAAGGTGGCTCTGCCATTTCTGATCCACAATATCAAAGAAAGTCTTGCACTTGATATCATCCATGATATAATATGTCCGTATCGACTCCTTGGCTTTGGTCATCAACTCATAAATCGAACCAACTGCTGGTTTTCCGCCAGATACCTCCCTCATAACCTTTAGAAATGGCTCAGAAACGGCAACACATTCTTCCACTGCCCTCCAAAACTCGTTGTCATCAAGTATGCCAATGCAGGTCATGCTCTGTGGTTTATTTGCATAAGCAGGGTTATTTGTGAATTCGGGGCTGTTAAACATGTGTTTCAATCTTGACCGTTGCTTCAATATGGATTGCAACGAAAGGAAGTGAGAAACATACTTTGTGATACCAGTTTTGATGATTTCTTCACTTACAGTGAACTTCTTCATCATATCAAGAAGCGATGAATGGTTGTATATAAACTTTGAAATCACCTGTGCTTGAAGGATGCATCTATTCACCCAATCTATCTTTGAAAACTCCTTCAAAATTGCATTCAAACATTGCAAAGCACAAGGGGATACAAAGATGGTTCCATAAGTTTGCAGGATATGATTCACTATACTGGTGCAGTTGAGTGTGTTATCCAATATTATCTGCACGATATTTTCTGGCCCAAAATCTTGAATCACGGAGTCGAACAAATCAGCAAGGAACTTTGTGTTCTTGAAATATGAAGATGCGTCTACAGATTTGTGGAAAAACGTACTGGATGGTGATGAAATCAGGAAGTTGATTAACGCTCTTGATTTGTTGTCGGTCCATGTTTCCACAATTATGGTACAACCTGTTGTTGTCCATTCTTTCTCGATTTCTTTAGATTGTAAGCTGACTTCAGATTTTATCATCTCCAACCAATTGGTTTTCAGAGCTTCGAAAGAGGGACCTTTGAACCCGTTACCACATTTGGCTACTGAATCAATCATCAACTGGTAAGACGAAGAACGGGCAATACTGAAATCCAACTTGTTTTCAAAAAAGAAAAGAGCTATACTTCTTTCTGCATTTTCTTGATCACTCACATGCGAAGGACCAGTTTGGGTAATATTAGGAAAGATTTTGGCAATCGGAGATACTGTCTCTAGGGTTACAAGACTTCTGTTTGTAGTGATACTATTACTAACAGGTGATCTAGGTTCTGGTTGCTTTCGCTTCTTTGTTGGAATAACTTCTTTACCATCCTCCTTTGATGCTAAAATGATCCTAACCTTATCGGTGACATCATCTCTAACTTTGCTACATGGATTTACGCCTTTACTTGGAAGTCGAGAAAGATGATGCTTCAGTCTACTTATGCCGCCATTCAGAACTCTTAGACAGAATTTGCATTTAACCTTGTTTCCATCTAGTTTCTCAGCGTATTCCCAACAAACATCTTTCTCTCGAACCACTGCCCCAAAAAATGATATTGGTTTAATGACAATTCTGATTACTTCACATTAGAAGGACACTAGACATCAAATCAAGCAGTGTGACATGGAATGATTTGCAATAAATCATCATTATCACACATGATTTGCGATTTTTAGCATTTTCCAATATATTAACTTACAATCCAAGCTTGTGACTTTATCCAAATAGAAATTTAAATAATGGAAAATAAGTCTAGCATGCAAACCCTACCAATAGAAGTAAAATGGAACGCATAAATGAACTTGATCCAAATTGTGTATATATGTCTTAGAATGTGTATGACTAAAATTTCGAATCAAGAAAAGGACAGGGACTTACTTATGTAGAAGAAGTGCCTGGCATTCCACCCTTCTGACATACATGAATAGGCAATCAAGAAAGTATTGTCATAGTTAGTAACTAGTAAGCGATCAGCAAATTTTGCAAAAAAAGAACATAACATAAAAAAGAATCTATATAACGAGTATACTCATTGTTCATCCAAGGAACTTGATACCGATAACCATAGAGTTCTACCATTGCCGCTGCTTCCATCGAATACAAACATGTTATTTAGGACCCCATAATCTATGAACCAAAGCCCACGGTGCCAGAAGGGCCACCTCTAGGCCAGATCCCATAAGCGGGACCATCACCGAATAGCAGAGAATCTCCTAATTGTTTTGAAGTCAAAGCAACTAGAGTCTAGAAAGAGATTCTTTAGCTAGAACCAAACAGAACTGAAAACTTCTAAAAAAGGCAGCCCGCGGGATGCATACAACCCACCTATAAATAGAACAAAAACGAGAACAAACCCAACCTTTTACCAATCTATACATCTCCACTTTCGTTCTAAAATGATTAATACTAACTCTCATCATAGAGGCAGAAACAATGGATCAAAACCCTTGTGTACTTGTTGCTTGCAGTCACATCTGATCCTCATAACTACTTCAGAAGTGACCAAATCAGGTTCTATCACTAAACTTGGTTGAGATAACAGGTAGCTAACACAATTACATTCATGAGAGACTTAAAATGGAAAGAGATTCAGTTTCCCACAAATATATACATGGATTTCATTCAAAAAAATGTCTAGCATAAACAAGATAATAGCAACCTCAATTAACTTCATTAGATATGCATATAACAGAAGGCCTGAAAGAAAATTCCCAGCAAAATTCATTCAACTTCTTCACTCAAGTGAATGCAGCATATACAAAAAACAATAAGAAAGCATTGTCAAAACAAAAGCCTAAATTGAATAAGTTCGTACTAAATATATATAACTTTTTAAAAGCGGAACAAATTGGTTGTGCGTTCTTAATCTGCTAGAATGTAGCAGAAACTGATACAATTGAATCACTCAATTTCAAAATATCCGAAATCGGAAGGCAAAATTTTCTACTTTTCATGACATAACCTGATAAGAATCCAGGTTAGTAACGAATAATTTCAATTTTCTTACTATCGCATGGATAAACCCATTAATTTCTACCCAACACGCAAACATTTATCATCAAAATTAGGGTTCCAGATATGACAAATTCAACATAATTTTTTTGGAGAGAAAATAAAGAAAAAATGGGGGAGAAAATAGCGAGAAATAGAAGCTTACAGAGAAAACAAGTGAAGGAGATCAGGGAGAGATAATCGGAGGCTGCAGACTCGGGGAAATGGAGTCGGGTTGGATTTTCTCGCGAGATTTTAAAGCAAATCGAAGAATTAGGGTTTTTCTGTTCTTCTCATTTTTCTCGTTATCTTATAAATTACATATGTGAAAATAAAGATTTCATGTTCCAGAGATTTTGTCGTGTTGTTGGATGTAAGCCGATATATCGCGGTTCTGTTTTACGGTTTGATTAAATCGTAGCCGTTGCTTCCGAACGACGTCGTCTTGAGCAGAGGTTGGGTAAAAATAATTTCGGAAGCCACTCTATATCAGAGCCAGGTTTCGATCCTGGGACCTGTGGGTTATGGGCCCACCACGCTTCCGCTGCGCCACTCTGATTTGTTGGTTTACAGTTGATTAATAAATTTATATACAAAACAAATCCAAAAAAAGAATTCATGATTTATTAGTTCAAATAAAAGGAAAACTATATTAAAATATAATGTACTTTGTTCGAATTTCTATTTTGGGTAATCTATTTTCAGATGTTTTTTGGATACTTGAGATGTGGTATCTCAAACTTTAAGTATCCGGATAACCAGTTAACATATTGATATGTCGGATGACATGACATCTTATGTGGCTTATTATGTATAGGTGTAGCATATGATGTGGATTTTTTTAATATAAAATTAGTTTTAATTTTTTTTAATACCCAAGAACATGTATTAAACATGAACGAACATCAATTTGAAAGTTCTTCAACCCAATAAGCATCGATAGATATTTCACAAACAAATACAAATGTAGATATAAATCCATATAGAATATGAAGAATATCAACAAAAAATTCCATCAAACCCCTAAAATATAAACCTTTAAACTTAAACCTCTAAAATCAAAACCCCAATTTTTTAAACCCTAAAATAAAAACCCCAAAATCAACAAGGGTTTGTCAGAACATAGATTAAAAAGAAGAAAACCTAAATCAATAGGAAGGAGGTGTTCACAGGCGAATAAGAAACTCAAAACATGATGTAAGACGTCAAAGTAGACACCTATCTGCATCGAACTTGAAGAAGAAGAACAAGAGCATTTGGTGCCACCACCAGATCTTCGTTTGATATCAACCGGATGAAAATCTATTCAACCTAATTTATTTCCTCCTCCCTCAATCATCCTTCGATTTCTTCTTGGTTTGATTATCTACAACTACAAAAATGAGGAGTATCCACGACATAAATATCCGTAATTATCGGCATCTTCTGTCTCTGATAGTCCGTCAGTTAAAAGCTTGTAGGTAATGTTACTAGTGACGGATTTGCGACGAAAAAGATTCAACGGCGGATTAGTGACAAGAAATCCTTCAGCGATGGATTAACAAGGGATATATTTAGCGACAGATTAGCGAGGGACTTTTAGCGAACGGATTAAGACTAACCAATTCATACAACTTAAAGTATCAAATTCATGCAATCTAACTACTGGGAGGTCTATGAGGGGGTAAATGTATCATGAGTGCCGTATAAACGCATCAAAATATTCTGATAAAGTGACCTGCTCGGCTAACTAGGCAGCGTGTCTGGCCTGTTCGGCCTCCAGACCTGCCCTACTCTTCCGTTCGACCTCAATCTCAGCCTGATGGCATTCCTCTTGCAGTCGCTTCTCCTCCTTTACCCTTGCCAACATTTCTCTCAACTCCACTAACTGTAAATATTCAATATTTGACAAAAATCAGCAATTTGTTCGTAATGAAAATAATGAGAGAATACATAACAACATAACAAACATACCTTTGTTGTTGATCCGATATCGTACGATCTCCCGGTGCTACTGCATCGTTGATTAGCAAGGGGTATTGTCATCGCTAATCCATTGCTGATTAGCGAGGGATTTTTTTCGTTGCTAAAAACCATCGTTAATACTCAGTTTTCTAGTAGTGATACTCCTACAAAAAACTTGGATTGAAATCATGAAAAACCTAACCCCTAAATCATCTTCGATCAAAGTAGTGACCTCTGTTGGCATCTCGCTTTCAACCCCCTTTTGGCTACTGTCTTGCAATCTCTTTTTTCAAATACTTTGTTTATGAATGCAATCTTCCAAGTAGTGGTTGAGAAAAAGAAATCCTATCGGTGTGGTATGAAACTATCATACATCTTGGATCGGTTTGTCGATATTTCTTTTGAAAAACTTGGGTTGAGGTTTTGATAGAAGTACGATAAAAAAAAATATTGAGTGAGAAGAACATAGTGAACTGCTATCAATCTGGAGTATCAAAGAAACAAAAATTTTCATTAATGCATTAATCTTTTTTGGAAACGTATCCTAGATCTAGAAGGTAAGGAGATTGATTTAACTAGTAGAACAAATGAGAGATGAATTTTTAATGAAAATGAAATTTTAAAAAACTAATTTAAATAAAAAAATCCACATAATTCGCCATGTCAACAAATAATGCTAAGTTGTTTGCCATATAATTCATCGTGTCAGCATGATAACCAGTTAATGTTTCAACTGGTTATCTGGGTATTTAAAAGTTCGAGATGTCACGTCTCAGGTACTAAAACTGTAACACCCCAAATCCGCAGCGGAAACAGGATCTCCACACAATATAATGAATCACTAAAAGGCTAAAATTAAACCAAACAACTTAGTTTCAATACAAATTTAACATACAGTCTTTAAAGATAAAAGTCAAATCTCAGACAAAATATTGAATCCTAAAATAATAGGGAAAAGTACAATAAAAACCAATGGACTTTCTTGTTTGGAATGATTAAGTTCTTGGACTTTTTTTTGGAACAAATAAGTCCTTGGACTTTTTTTTGGAACAAATAAGTCATTGAACATTCCAAAACATGTTAAATAAGTCATTGGACAATTTTTTGGAACAAATAAGTCCTTGGACATTCTAAAATATGTTAAATAAGTCATTGGACAATTTTTGGAACAAATAAGTTATTGGACATTCCAAAAAATGTTAAATAACTC